AGAACACCTGGGTTCGAATCACAGCACCCACATGGCAGCTAACTACTATCTGTAACTCCAGTCCCAGGGGATCTGACAGCCTCTTCTGACCCCCCGCAGGCATTGTACCACACGGGTGCACTTAACTACATGCAGGCAATATACGCATACTCATAAAATTAAAATAATAAAATATTTTTTTAAAAAGACCAAAAATAAAACATTAAAAAAAAAAAAAAAGCACTACTGGTTGAGCCTTAGTTCTTTTTTCTGTTTTAGCTCTGCATTCAATTATCAGTTACTGAAAGAATAAATAATAGATCTGTGGCATTAGTGATCAGGAAAATTGTTTGAACTCATGCATGAAAAGACTGTAAACAATGCCACAGTGAATGGCCACTCCTGTTAGTCTTGTACTCCGTAGGTTTTCAGTTACTTTAGTAGCCTGCTCTGGCCAAAACTGTTGTTTGGGGTGTGTATGGTGCTGGGAATTGAGTTCAAAGCATTGCATTTTACCACCGAGCTATACCCTCTGCCTCTTTTGTTTTTAATCGTAATTTTATTTTCCAGAGTAAAATTTAAAATATAGTTTAGTCTGGAGCTGGATATAGTGGTAAACTCCTACAGTTCTAGCAATTTGGAAAGCTGAGGCAGGAAAATTTTGAGTTCAAGGCCAGCTTGGGCTACATAGCAGGATACCGTCTCTAAATAAATAAAGCTTATTATGTTAAAAGTACATAGGGTGCCTTTCCTTTGGTAGGAGTCTAAGAGAACTCTTTTAGTCAGGAAATTTTATTATTTAATATTCCTGTTAAAATAATACTCTTATGGGGCTGGAGAGATGGCTCAGTGGTGAAGAGCACTGGCTGCTCTTGTAGAGGACCCGGGTTTAGATCCCAGCACCCACATGGTGGCTAACAACAGTTCCTAAGTCCAGTTCCAGGGCATCCAACACCCTCTTCTGACCTCTGTAGGCTTTGCACAAAATGGGTGCACTTACACACATGCAGGCAATACACTCATACACATTAAAAAATAATGAAAAGAAAATTAATAATACCCTTGTGTGCATAAACTTCTGTATACTTTCATATATAGCAGGTAGTAAAGGATCTGTGGACGTCTGCTATGTGTGTGTGCAATTTTTTAAAATTCTAGATTAAATACCAGATTATTTTCTCTATACCTATTTTGTCATTTGACATTCTATTGAAACTATTTTACATTTATAAAAATTTAAACATACCCTGCTACTCTCTCTCTTTCTCATGTAGTACCACATTTTGACCTCAAACTTGACATGTACCATCCTTAAACTTTTGATCTTCCTGCCTCTACCTCTGAAGTGTTGGATTATAGGAATGTGCCATCCACCATGCCTTGCCCTACATTAGGATTCTTTTTAACAGAGAGAAAGAGAGATGGGGGGGGGGGAGAGAGGTAAGCATGTGTGGAAGTGGATGTGCATGTCCATTTGTGTGGATAGGGAGGCTGGAGGTCAGCGTGGGTGTCTTCCTCTGTCATTCTTCACTTTATTTTTTGAGATAGGGTCTCCTACTGAACCTGAAGCTCACCACTCACCCATTGGCTAGACTGGTTGATCAGTGAGCCCTTGGAATTCTCCTGTCTCCACCTCCCAATTGCTGGGATTACAAGTGTGCACTGCCAAGCCCAGCTTTTTGTTTTTAACTTTTAAAAAACTTTGTTGAGAATTTCATACAAGCATATAAGGTGTTTTGATCAAATCCATGCCCACTCCCTCCCCTCCAACACCTCCCATATCTCCCCATCACTTTTTTGACAACTTTGTGTACCCTTCCTTTCCTTTTTCCTTTCCCTCCCCTCCCCTTCCTTTCCTTTCCTTTCTTTTAAAATGGGGCTTTTTGCTACTCTAACATTCCCCCCTCTGAAGATGTAACCCTAAAATCCTTTTAGGGATTAGATAAGAGCTCCCAAATACTTTTGACGTTTTGGCCTTTGGAACATAGTATGTTGGTAAGTGGCCCAAGGACATTATGACTTTTAGCCAAGAAACTGGCTACTTTCTTTGGAGTCTTTTTTTCCCTAACTGCCTAGCCAGTTCCTACCTCTTATTCTTATCACACCATCCTCTGAAGAGGTTACCCAAATTGCTGATAGGAGATCAGGATGCAGACTGCTCTGGCTTCTACCATGCTGAACAGGGACACAACACAGCCCAGCTTTTTACATGAGCGTTGAGGCTCCAAACCCAGGTCCTCATGCTGCATAGCAAGCACTTTACCTGCTGAACCATCTTCTCAGCCTATTTATCATAGATTTTTAAAGCTTTCAAAATCTCTTGCCAAATTGCTGTCTTGAGTGAGGCAGCTGTGATGGTATATGCCTGTAATCCCAGCTCATTCAGAGGACTATACCAGGAGGATCTTAATTAAGTTCAAGGCCAACTGAAAAATTACATCTGTTTATACTCCAAACACCAGTGTTTGAGAGGATGTATTTCTCCTTCCCCTTATCCAGTGACTCTGGATATTAAAGTCAGTAGTTACTTTTAGCCAGGCCTGGTGGTGCACGCCTTTGGTCCCAGCACTCTGGAGGCAGAGGCAGGTGGAGATCTGTGAGTTCAAGGCCAACCTGGTCTACATAGTGAGTTCCAGGCCAGCTGAAGTTTAATTTTGAAAATTTCGATATTCAGGTTGACATTTAATTAAAAATATTTTCCTGCAGGTGTATACTGTATAGTGGGGCTAGCCCCTCATCCCACTACCCTTTCCCTCACTTGTCTGCACTCCAGTTTGTCCCCTCGTTCTAGACAGCTTCACTTCTTTCATTTTACATATGCAGTAAAATTCTATAATTTTACTTTGCTTTAATATGGTTATCTTGCAGCTGTGTCCATTTTCCTTCAGATGCCATACTTTGCTCTTCTTTTGAGATGAAAAACATTCCATTGTGTGTATATATATTCATTTTCTTTACCCATTCTTCTACTATTAGACACCTAGCTTGGTTCTATAACTTAGTTATTGTGGACAGTGCTGCAGTAGACATTGATGTGCAAATATCTCTGTGATATCTTGATTAGAGTCCTTTGGGTAAATACCTGGATCATATGGGAGATCTGTTTTTAGGCTTTTTTTTTTTTTTTTTTGGTTTTTTTTGAGATAGGTTCTCTCTGTAGCCCTAGCTGGCCCGGAACTCTGTGTAGACCAGGCTGTCCTTGAACTCACAGAGATCTACCTGCCTCTGCCTCCTGGTGCTGGGATTAAAGGCCTATGCTACCACTCCTGGTTTATTTTTAGTTTTTAAAAAATATTTTGTTAGAGCCGGGCATGGTGGCACACGCCTTTAATCTAGGCACTCAGGAGGCAGAGGCAGGCAGATCTCTGTGAGTTCAAAGCCAGCCTGGTCTACATAGTGAGTTCCAGGACAGCTGGGGCTACAGGGACACTGTCTCAAAAAGACAAAAAAAAAAATTATCATTTTTATGTTATGAGTGTACTGCCTGCATGTATGCATGAATGTAAGTGCATTGTGTTGTTCAATGCCCATGGAGTCAGAAGAGGGTGTCCCTTGGAACTGGAGTTACAGATGGCTGTTAGGCACCATGTGGGAGCTGGGACTCGAACCCGAGTTCTCTGCAAGAGCAGCCAGTGCTCTTAACCAATGAGCCGTCCTTTCAGCCCCCATTTTTCACTTTCTAAGAGAAGTCTGTACTGATTTCTATACAAGTTTCATTCACTTCTATTCCCATCACCAATATATAGAGTTCTCTTTGGCCATACCCTCACTGACATTTTTTATTGATTTATTCTTAATTTTATGTGTTCTGTGGACTTCAAACCTAATTCCACTAATCTACTGAATACTTAGGATTACTTAGGCATCTTCCACAGCATACAATTTTATTACCGTAAATTGCCAAACGGGGTAGAGGAGAAACTCACTTTTTAATGACAACATGGAGGTATTATATTATCTTTAACTTTATTCAGAGGCTTTTGTTGGTCTGTTTTTTGGTGTTTTTGAGACAGTGTTGTCTCCCTATAGCCCCAGCTGGCCGAGAAGTCAACTAAGTAGACCAGGCTGGCCTTGGAAGTCACAGAGATCCGCCTGCCTCTGCTTCCCCAGTGCTGGGATTAAAGGTGTGCACCACCATGCCAGGCAGTATATTTTTTAAAATATTTTATTATTTTTATTTTATGTGTATGCATGTATTGCCTGCATGTAGGTTAGTGCACCGTGTCGTGCAGTGCCTGCAGAGGTCAGAAGAGGCTGTCGCATCCCCTGGAACTGGAGTTACGTAATTTTTTAAAATTTTTTTATTATTTTTTATTTTATGTGTACGCATGTATTGCCTGCATGTAGGTAAGTGCACTCATGTCGTACAATGCCCATGGAGGTCAGAAGAGGCTGTCGCATCCCCTGGAACTGGAGTTACGGACAGTTAGCTGCCATGTGGGTGCTGGGATTAGAACCCAGGTCTTCTGCAAGGACAACCAGTGTTCTTAACCACTGAACCATCTCTCCAGCCCCCAAGGCAGTGTATTTTTTAATAAATCTAAATAATAATCTAAATTTTTAAAACGTGTGAAAAGTATAAAGAACATTGCTTATTTGTGCATAGCATAACATGTAGCTGTTCATATCAGATCACATGTTCATGTCATCACAGTGATTCAAATATTCCCTTCAGATCTGCCTGATGGAGAAATCGATACAGAACTGGACTCTCCACCTGCCAAGAGAAAAAGAATAGGTCTTTTCCAGGCTTACGATACAGAATATTTAAAATTTGGTTTTGTTACCTGCACTGGATCAAAAGAAAGTTCACGAAGGCCACAGTGTGTCATTTGTGGAGAGATCTTACCCAGTGAAAGCACCAAGCCAGGAAATCTTTCTCATCATTTGAAGACAAAACATTCAGAATTAGCAAATAAGCCAGTAGATTTTTTTGAACAAAAATCTCTTGAAATGGAATGTCAAAACAGTTCTTTAAAGAAGTGTTCACTGGTTGAAAAGTCACTTGTGAAAGCTTCCTATTCAGTTGCTTTCCAAACTGCTGCCAGGAAGAATCCGTTCTCAACTGCTGAAGAGTTAATTAAACCGTATTTAGTAGAAGCGTGTTCAGAAGTTTGGGGTTCAGGTGCTGGAGACAAAATGAAAACCATCCCACTTTCTAATCATGCAGTCAGATACAGGATTGATGAACTGTCTGCGGACATTGAAGAGCAGCTAATTGAGAAGATCAGGGAGTCCAAGTGGTTTGCCCTTCAGCTAGATGAGTCATCAGAGGTGGCAGACAGCACCCTTCTCTTGTGCTATATTCGTTTCATTGATTATTATTGCAGTGATATAAAAGAAGAATTATTATTTTGTACCGAAATGCCTTCTCAAGTCACCGATGTTGAAATATTTGAACTGATAAATAAGTATATTGAAAGTAAATCTCTAAATTGGGGCCACTGTGTTGGTTTCTGTACAGATGGGTTTGCAAGCCTGACAGGCAGGAGTTCTCGTTTAAAGTCAAAAATTCAAGAAATTGCCAAGCATACTGTGACGTTTACACATTGCTTCATTCACCGAGAACACTTAGCAGCTGAGATGCTGTCTCCGTGCTTACACGAAATTCTTTTGCAGTCAGCACAAATTTTAAGTTTTGTAAAGAACAATGCATTGGATTCACGGATGTTAACAATTTTGTGTGAAGAGATGGGAGCCGAGCATGTGAATTTACCACTTAATGCTGAAGTACGTTGCCTGTCAAGAGGGAGAATTTTAACAAGAGTATTTGAACTTCGGCATGAAATTGAAATATTTTTAAATCAAAAGCATTCAGATTTGGCTAGGTATTTTCATGATGAGGAATGGGTTGCAAAGCTAGCTTATTTAGCAGACATATTTTCACTTATAAATAAATTAAATTCAAGTCTCCAAGGAACCATGACCACTATATTCAGTCTGTATAATAAAATTGATATGTTTAAGAAAAAGTTGAAAATGTGGTTGAAGCGCACACAGGAGGATGATTATGACATGTTCCCTTCATTTTCTGAGTTCTCAGATGCATCAGACTTAAATGTGAGAAAAATCACAAGCATTATCTTTGAGCACCTGGAAGGACTTTCTCAAATAGTCCACAACTGTTACCCACCAAAAGATGACCTGCGTTCAGGAAATTTGTGGATAATTGATCCCTTTGCCAAACATCAAAATAACAATCTCACTGTCTCGGAAGAAGAAAAACTAGCAGAGTTATCTTCAGATACAGGATTACAGTCAGCATTTAAATCAATGTCTGTAACTCAGTTTTGGATAAATGCAAAGACAAGTTACCCAGACCTGCATGGAAAGGCAATGAAATTTTTACTGCCCTTTTCAACTGTCTATTTATGCGATGCTACCTTTTCAGCTTTGACTGCATCAAAACAAAGAAACCAGTTGATTTGGGGCCCTGCCCTAAGACTTGCAGTCACATCATTAGTTCCAAGGATGGAAAAGTTAGTGAAGGAGAAAGAATAGTATTGTGCATATTGCTCATCAGAGTCTATAGTTTGGGGTTAGATTTTGTATAAGTATCATAAATATAATTTACTAGTATATTTGCATTTTCAGTGATTGTTTTTAATAATTTTCCCTTTATTGTAGAAGAATTTAAGAATTATGCAATTTATACATAATTACATGTAATTTTAATAATACAAGGTAGAAAATTTAGCTTTTGTATTGGTGATTGTTCTTGGAATTTCAGAGTAGTCCTCAGGGAGTGTCCCAACAAATCAGCCAGGACAGTATATCGAAGTATGCCAGTTAGAGGTGAGTAGTGGTAAAGGATAGAGAAAGATTATGTCAGCATGGCCAGGTTGGGAAGAACAGGGGCTAACAGGGACTTTGAAATTTTATAGAAAAAGGAAACAAAGGAGGTTTGTTTATTTTGCCTGACAGAAGGTACTCTGGGTAAGGCCAGTGGTCTGATCATTTTCTCGTTCTGGTTCTAGAGAAGTTATTGCCGTCACTACTGTAGGGGAACAGTCTGGTTCCTGTGAAGTGACTGTTACAGGCTGTGGCGTCACCATAATGGTAATTGCCCTCTTTTGAGGGGTGATCCTGTCCTGCCAAGTTTGATGTTACCTGGGCTAGTTTTAGTCCCTCATTGTAAAGATGTTTATCAATCAATTCTGTCCTTCCTGGAATCCAGGGTGATAGCCAGAGAAAGTGACGCAGGAGAAAAAAGGTGCAAACATAGATCTAGAGAGGGACAAAGCAGAGCTCAGTGAGGCCTGTGACCGTGCCCTCCTTCACAGCCTCAAGACTGTCTTAAAACAGTAACACAATCTAATGTTCAGTTTGCACTTAGACCTGGGAAGTTTTAGTCTCCAGCCAGCTAGAACTCCCAGAGGTTATGGTTAGGTGGAATCAGAGCTGAGCAGCTTGGGAAGCAGCAGGAAAGTCTGAGCTCCTGTTTGGGGGCTTCTCTGAACCACTAGATGGAAGAAAACAAAAACAAAACACTTTTTCTGTTTGTTGTTTTTGAGGTTGTACTTGCTATGTAACCCTCACTGTATAGCCCGGGATGACTTTGAACTCTTACCAGTCCTCTGCCTCAGCCTTCCTAAGTACTGGTGTGGTCCACCTCCTTGGCTTTACATAAAAGGTCAGATAGTAAAAATTGTGGCCACTGCTGTGCAGTTGCAGTACAAAAGCAGCCCCAGACTGCATGCGATTGCATGACTGTTTAAAACTTTATTTATGCACATTGGGATGTTAATGTCAAGTGTTATCAGAGCTCCTTGAACATTGTTTAATAGATTTAAAAAAACATTGTGGGGGCGGGGCGGTTAAGACCAAAATCTAGTCCAGTTTGACCCATAGTCGGAACAAAGTAACTGAATCCTTAAAACATCTTTTACATTTAGTATCAGCTGAGAGATCTTGGGGTGTGGTATTTTAGACAAATGTGGACAAGAACAACTTATAATTACTGGTTATTGGTCTATGACTCATAAGAGTATAGTTTAGTGATTTACAAGTAACTTTCCAAACGCGTGTGCCTAAGTTCTTTACAGCTGCACAGTAGGGTGGTAGGTCAGATTCCCCTGCTAATGGCACGCATAGGACGGAAGAAGGCTGGATCTTTGGGAACCGAGCTCTTGCCCAATTTCCTTCCGCTGCAGAAGGGCTGGGGCCTTGCTGAACCCGGCCTCGGAGGCAGGATCTGGAGGGCGCGAGCCCTCTTCCGGTTGGGAGCGGGTAAGGAAACGGCCCGCCGGCGGGAGTGAACTTTCGCAGGGCAGGCGTCGCCATGGAGTTGGTGCTCTGCGCCCTGCGTGTCCTGCTCGGAGGCTTCTTCGCACTCACCGGGGCGGCCAAGCTCTTCCCGATCTCCGCTCCTGCCTCGGAGCAGATGGTGAGCTGCACGGGCTGGCGGCGGGCTCTGGCCTTGGTACCCTGGGCCGCCTCCTGCCCGGGCCTTCCTCGGGGTTCCTCGGGGACGGGAGGAGACGAACCACTGCTTTTGGCTGAGCATGGTCCGCAGGCAGATTTAGAGCTGTAGAAGGGCTCAGAACCCGGAAGAAGGTGCAGGGAAATCTCCAGCAATCTCCATTTTTAGCTGGGAAGCTCGCCCTGAGGGTAAAATGCAGTTTGCTGTTAGTGACACAGTCAGGAGGCGGGGCCCCAACTAGACTCACCTAAACTGGAATCCACGGGGATCTTGCTGGAGTCTTCAGCCTGTGTAGTTCCTTATTCCTAGAAGACCCACCAGTTCCGCCAGGGCCTAAAATAAGCCAGCCTCTGGGGAAGGCCTATTGCTTCCTCCCAAGCCTGGATGCCCGTCTCACTTGGGGTGGTGGGTTATTTGGGGCAGATGTGGCTGAGCCAGACAGCTTGAACTCCCGGAAAGTGCGTCCAGCCTGCAGTCCTGGGGCTGCAGATGCCCCAGGATCGCTATGAATGCAGTCTAACGCAGATCTTAATCTTAAAATTTACGATCTGAAACATTCGATTGTGAGGTTTTCCAGCGTGGACATTCTTGTGAACTTGGTGGATGACAATGTAGTATCACAGTATCAAAAGGTTGGACATGCCTGGCAGCGTTGCTTCCTTGGAGGGCAGAGTTAAGAGAGGTAAAGCTGAGGTTGGAGCACAGTCACAGTCGCCCTGAGGGTGAAACTGTCATCTTACCCAGGGAAAGGACTCAGATGTGTTACTTTGGACTCCCTCGGGATCCAAAGGACCTAGCATAGGCAATTGAAAGTGGAAACTGTTTAAAGAGCCCTTTCACCCTACCTCCAAATGTTCAGCAGGGTGGATACAAACCAGGCCTAATACAAAGAGAATCTGCAGAGTTCCCAAGGCTTGGCCCTAAAGGGGAGGGCCCAAGTTTCATTTCCTTCTGGGATTTGAGGCTGAGTTATCCTATGTGGAGAGGTCTGGTGAGGAAATCAGGCCACCTCTGCAGCATCCCCTGCCCTTCTCCTGATTCCAAAGCTCAGTCACACAGGGTGGCCCTCTCACCAGGCTCTCCTCAAACCTGGATCTGACCTATACTTGTTTTGTTGGGGGAGCTGGCACAGGGAAGAGGCCTCTGGTGCCTCATGGCAGTGCATCTTTGAGGAGCACTGCTCACGGTCATTCCCTGCCACTCCTAGAGAGCCCTGTTCGTGCAGTTTGCTGAGGTGTTCCCATTGAAGTTGTTCGGCTACCAGCCAGATCCCATAAACTACCAAACAGCGGTGGGGTGGCTGGAACTGCTGGCTGGGTTCCTGCTGGTCGTGGGCTCACCCGTGCTGCGAGAGATCAGTAATTTGGTCTTGACCCTGCTTATGATGGGTAAGGGGGCCTATTGACCTAGGGAATTGGGGTCCTGGGGAGGCGGATGGAAAGATCAGGCTATTCTCTCTTTGTGCTGTCGTCTCTTTTCTCCGGGACCAGGAACACTTCCAGCTCTGCTACATCTTCTATAATCTTGAGACTAAGATAAATGTTTTTGAAATTTAATGAACTATAATTCTGATCCATGTGAGATACACTTTTTCCATTGTTTCTGTGGCTGCATAGTATTCCAATGTAAGGATATATTGTGACCTCAGAGCTCCTACCTTCCTCTACAGGCTCCTTGAGGGAGTAGCACAGCAGCAGACATACCCAGCAGGGAAGCTGGAGTCCCCTGAACAAGACAAAATTTCTCTAGAAGCTCCACAGGCAGGCACGCTAATGTGCCAAGACAGTTGCTGCTTTAAAGGCTGGACCCATTTGGGCTGTTCCGCATCTCCTGGCCTGTCACTCCTCCCTCCCCCCAAACACTTTCCATTTCTAGAGCTTTCCTCATTTTCAGATCGTTGCCATGCTACCACCACCAACCCCTGGGCCTCCATTTGAATCCTCCAGTAGCTTTGGGATTAAGAAGCATTGAGGGGGAAAATGTTTCCACATCCCTACCCCATCTACCCACCTGAGCTGCTTGGATGGGTATTTCTGTTTCTGTATCTCTGTTTTACTCCCTTTTCCCTTGGGCCTGTATGCATTCAAGAGGCCTTCCAGCTCTTGGTCCTGCTTATTTGGAGAGGGGATGTGGAGGGGAGTTTAATGGGAGGGCTTGAGCTGGACTGGGTCAACCTGGGTTGTAACTCCTGAGTTCTTGGATCCCCTGGGCACTCTTCCTTTCTGTTCCAGGGGCCATCTTCACTTTGGCAGCTCTGAAACAGTCGCTGAGGACCTGCATCCCAGCCTTTGTCTGTCTGGGGCTCCTGCAGCTGCTGGATGTCTGTCAATACTTAGCCCCAACTAAGAAGGTGGTCAGACACTCTGGGAAGAAGATTCCAGGTGCCTTCAAAGAACCCTGGGAGTAGAGTCCCTTCGTGCCATGCCGTAACCCAGTGGGAACAAGTGGCATAGTCTACCTCCTTGTTATGTCCAGGTCTTCAGTGTTGAAAGTGACACCTTGTCTAAGCCGCCCCAATTTCCCTCTGTAACTATGTTGCTCTGTTTTGAGGATTACATATTACACATATTGAACATTCCTCATGGCATGTGAAAGTAGGAAATGCACAGAAAAGAAATTTAAACCACCTGAAATTCTGATACTCCAAATAACCATTTTCAATGCTTTGGTGTAACTGTACCTCTTGACTCTTCCTATGGCTTTATACATATATATTTTTTAATGAAAATGAGACTGTGTGGCTTATTTTATTACCTACTTTTAAACATAATCTATAGCATTCCTTGTCTGTTTTACTTCATCAGTGTTAGTGGTGTCATAGTACTTTACTGTAAGAATGTATTGTAGGTACTCTGTCCCCTCACAAGGAACATCAGGGTTGTTCCCAATTTTGTTTGTGATTGTAAACTACACAGTAAATCACCTTTGCATACTTATTTCCTTTCCTAAGAAGTAAGGGTGCTGTTTCAAAAAGCATGCACAGCTAGGCGTGGTGGTCACCCCAGCACTTGGGAGGCAGAGGCAGGCGGATCTTGTGAGTTCAAGGCGAATCTTTAAGGGTTGGTTTGTTTGTTTTTTGAGACAGGGTCTCCCTTGTAGCCCTAGCTGGCCTGGATTCGCACTCACAGGGATCCGTCTGTCTGCCTCTGCCTCCCAAGTGCTGGGATTAAAGGTGTGTGCCACCATGCCCGAAAGGTTTTTAATGCATATTTAAATTCTGCAAGCTCACTATTATGGAGTTTAAGTATCTGCTTTCTGCCTGCCTTTCTGAATCCTGTGAGGGGTTCTTCACCATTTCTATCCCACATTTCAGATTTGCAGAGCTAACTGTTTGGCACTGAAATCACCAGGCTGGAGTAATGAGGTGTGGCATTTAGCCCCGTGACAAAAGTAGACACCATGTTAGGGCACCCACTGGCATGTTGCCAAACCACCTTCTCTGTTCGTGGAGTGGGAAGGAGGCAGAAGAGTGGTGGGGAAAATGAATCTATATTTTGCAGTCCTGGAACTTGAGCTTCAGCATTAGACATGCTGCGCAAGCTCTCTACCACTGAGCATATATATATCCCTTGTACTGTTTCTAATATAAGGTCTAAATGGCCTGAGTTGGCCTGGAACTTTGTAGCCCAAGCAGACCTTGAACTCGTGATCCTTCAGTCTCTAGAGTAGCTAGGATTCTGGGTCTGCATTAGGGCCAGCTTGAGTTTATTTCTTCCGCTTTTCTAGCCGACAGCCTATACGTTACTTTGGGAGTAGGAACCCACTGGCTCAGGGAACATACAGAAGTGGAAGAAGGTTGTGTGTGTCAGTCCATTTCATGTTCACTACTGAGTGGTAATTCCTCCTCTGCCCCCCACTTGCATGAACCTCAGGCAAGCTGATAATTTTTAGTTGGATTTTCTTGTGTCTGTCTGAAAGCACGGTGATGTAATCCACCTATGGCAAAGGGCAGAGAGAGAAACGGATAGTTTTTAAATACATGTGGGAGTGTCAAAACATTAAGAGGGCTGGTAAGATGGCTCCGCAGGTAAAGGCTTGATGAACATAGTTCAGCCTCTGGGACCCTCTGGTTCTCTCTGGGTGGGAGAGAACCAACTCCAGAAAACTCCTCTGGACCCCCCCCAAATAAATTTTTTTTTAATGGGGAAAAAATTAAGGGGTCCAGAGGTATTTTGGCTTCAGTTTCAGTGTTGTTTAATTAGGCTGCCTAATGAAGACATCAAGGACCAACATTCTTACAGCTTAAAAAAAATTTTTTTAATGCATATTAGTGTTTTGCCACCACTATGTACACCTGTTGCTCACTGAGGCCAGAAGAGGGCAGCAGAGCCCTCAGAACTAGGGTTGCACATGGGTATGAGTTGGTAGCCTCTGGGAGAGCAAGTGCTCTTAACCACTGAGCCTTTTCTCCAGGCCCTCTTTCAGCTTTCTGTCTTGCTGTCTTCAGGGTGGCAAAAGAGCTGCAGCTGCTCCAGTTGGCATATTTGCACATACCATCCAAGGGTGAATAGAGAGTAGAAAGCTCTTTCTGAAAACCCTAGGTCATCCCTCACATCTCACTGGCCAGAATTCTCTCACATTTCCATTCCTAAACCAATCACTGTCAAGGAGAATGGAATTCCCATGATGGATTTAAACTAGTTAAAATTCACCCATACTTGTCAGCAAGGAGGGAGGGATACTAGTGCTATTCCTTAGCTTATTTACAAAATATGGAAAATGGCAGTAAATATTTTGTAGCCTAGTGCATAATAAGTGCTGACCCAGTGCTGTTAATTAAGTACCCATTTGTTCTACCAATGAGAATACAGATCTGGAAGGCATAAGTGCCTGTGTGTCAGAACTGAGACTAGAACTAAGGCCTGATTGATTCCAGAATTTGTGTTCTCTGTGTATCAACTGCCAAGCTGAAAATGGGCAGGGATGAGACCCAAGATGACCTGCCCAGTGTGATGAGCTCTTCCCTACTTTCCAGATTTGGTACTGTGCATGAGCATTTTGAAGCCCATGAAAGTAGACCCTGGGACCCTGGCTTTGTGTGTTCTCTACCCCTTCCAAGAATGCTACAGCCAGCCTGTTTCCAGCCAGGACTGAAGTAAACCACTTGCAGCTGGCATTGTGGGTTCCCGTATACCAAGACTGAGTAGTAGTTGTGGACTCTGAGCATGGCTGTGGGGCTGGCCCATCAGCTGTGGGACAGGCAGGGTGTTGTGGAGAAGCAGTTGGGATTCATAGCAGCAGGAGCATCTTAAGCCCCAGCAATGCCTTGAGTCCAAGGAGCCGGGCCTCAGAAAACTACTACAGAAGCCTAGGACAGCTCAACACAGTGACATTTAGCTGCTTGGCTTCTTGCCCTGTAATGACACTCCATTCCCTGGGGGTCCTAGCAGCACCCCTACAAATCTAGTTGGCAGCTGCCACAGGTGGGCTCCAGCCTGGCCAGCTGTTGGGCCCTTTCTGGGATTAACTAGGAAGGTCTGGGATATGTGAGTGGAAGGGGATTCTGCTCTGCCTCAACTACACATCAGGCTTGTTTCAGACAAGGGAATGAAAGCTCCAGTGTGGTAGTGCACATTTGTAATCCCAGCGCCCTGCGGGGCCGGCGGGGGGGGGGGGCTGAGGCAGGAGGATTGCCCTGAATTTGAGGCTAGTCTGGGTTACATAGGGAGTTCCATCCCAGACTGGGTGACAGTGTGAGAGGCTGTCTCAAAACAAAACAAAACAAAAGCAACCGGTACCAACAAAAACTCCAGGGCTGTTGAGATAGGGCTCAGAAGATAAAAACACTTACTGCCAAGCAAGATGATCTCTGTTGAACCTACATGATGGAAAGAGAACGGACTCCCTCAAGTTGTCCTCTGACCTCCACACGTGTGCTGTGGTATGTGTGGGCACACACACTCTCTAATCAAATTCCAAACAAACAAACAAACTACAAAACAACAACAAAACTGTAAAACAACAGGAAAACAAGGGATGAAACATTCTTTGTGGCTCATATGGTCCCTGGCATTTAGCAGCTTTTGGATATAAGTGATACGCCAGTGCCTTGCATGCCTCTTCGGATAAGATCCAAAGTCCTTAATACAGCCTACAGTGCTGACTCCTGCTTCCCTAGGGACCTCCTTCTCTACCTCCCCTGCCCCGCCTGCCTTTCAGTTCATGCCAGTTTCCTACCCTTCCTGAACCTTTGCATCTGAGTTGGTCTGGAATGACCTGTTTCCTTCAACTAAGTAACTTCATCTTCCCTTTCTCAAAAGTAACTCTTGGAAAGCTTTTCTTGACTACCAGCACGCATACAGGCGCACAGCTGGATCAGGTCTGACCGAGTGCTTCGTCATTGTTCTATCTCGCAATTGTAATCAAGCCGTTAACTGGGCAATGCATTTTTCTTCTCTTGCCAGACTGTATTTATGTCAATCCATAAGAAATTCCCATTTTTGCCGGGTGTGGTGGTGCATGCCTTTAATCCCAGCACTCGGGAGGCAGAAGCAGGAGGATCTCTGTGAGTTCGAGGCCAGCCTGGTCTACATAGTGAGTTCCAGGACAGTTGGGGCTGAGGGAGACCCTGTCTCAAAAAGGACAAAACCGCCTCCCAAAAACAAAAAAGGCCCCCAAAGGTTGAATTTTGATGTTCTATTTGCATTTAAGTCAACCTAATAAAGTCTATGTTTATCTCATTTGCTGTATTATATCCTATGCTTGATACTGTTCAAATGAGTGAATGAAATCTATCATTAATTTAGAACTCAAAGACTTACATATCCTGGTGTCTAGTAACTTTCCAGTAAGTGTTTCTGGGATTCTTCAAGCTTGTCTTACCCGGATGCATTCCTAAGCCAGACTTGTGCTCTCGCTGGATACCTACAACTATGCCATCACCTTCACTGTGCCAAGACTTGGTGGTAACCAAGCTGGAGCTCCATCCTGCCATTAGCCGGGACAGAGATTGGCCAGACTTGGCTGCCCTCAACTTCAACTGATCTGAGACTTACCCAGGGTACAAATCTCTGCCAATGGCTCTGGTTTGAACACTCTCCCTCCTGTGCTTGGACAAGTCAGCCATCTGCTTCTAGTGGGGAAACGGACTCACTCTCTGTTCTTCACCAGTGTTATTGGCAGTCCTACAGCAGAACTGCTTAGGTCCCAAGGAGTTTGAGCCTAGCATGTGAGGGCAGCGAGCGTGTTGCCAAGTTCATCAGTCAGCCCCCAGGTCTTACCAAACTCCAGGCCCTTTCAAGGCGTTTGCCTTCTAATGATAAATTCCTTCTTCTCTTTTTGATAAATCACCTCTCGTGGGTCCCTTATTCCTTCTTTAACTTTTTTCTTTTATGTTTTAAAGTAACATGTTCATGAAAGTAAATTCAAAACAATAGAGAAAAATGTAAAATACAAAGTAAAGGTCCCAGTGGTAGCAAGGGTTCATAGTGTGTGTGTGTGTGTGTGTGTGTGTGTGTCCTTCCAGAAGTTTCATATTTCAATCAAATACACAATTTTCTTTCTTGCTTGCTTGCTTTTTCTTTTTTCTTTTTTTTTGAAACAGGGTCTCCCTGTAGCCCCAGCTGTCCTGGAACTCACTATGTAGACCAGGCTGGCCTTGAACTCACAGAGATCCACCTGCCTC